GGGAGGGCGGGCCGGGGGCCGGTTCCGCGCGCAGGGATTTTTAAATGTCCCGCTCGAAGCCGGGCGCAGGAGCAGCCGCCTCGGCATCCAGCGCGGTGTAGGGGGAGGCGCGCATCCCGCCAGTGCCGCGCGCTCGCCCGCCGCCGTCGCCGCCGCCCGGCTTCTCGCTCGCCGCCCGCCTCCTGTCTCGGCTCGTGCCTGTCTGTCCGCCTACGAGACGGCTTCGGGTAAGGGTTCCGCTGCGGCTGCGAGCGGGACAGCGGGCGGGGACACCGCGGGCGGCCGGGCCGGGCCGGACAAGCGGTGGGGGTGGGGCAGGAGCCGGGTCTCCAGGTCCCGGGAGGCGTCCGTGCGGGGTCCCCCGGGGCGGGTGGCTCGGGGACTGGACGAGGGAGAGGTGCTCGGGGTGAGACGGAGGCGGCTTGGCTTGTGCGGCAGGCGCTCTGCCAGCGATGTGGGGGCCTCGGGGGATGTGCGGGCCCCTCCAGCCCCTGGTTCGAAGCCCGGATCGCGGGCTGTTGGCGGCGCCGCGGGTGACAGGCCACCCCGGCCCCATCGGCCATTTTCCTGGCCGGCCCTGGAGGCTCCCGCCCGCCGCCTTCCGCGCGGGAGGGGGAGGGGTGCCCCTGGCAGGCAGGCCTGGCCCCCTCGGCCGGCCCCCCGGCCCCCACTAACCACCTCGTGCCCCCGCAGGCCTCGGATCGGAGCCCCAGGCCGGCGCCATGCCGAGGGAGAGGAGGGAGAGGTGAGTGACCGGGCCGCAGCGGGGGAGGGGTGGGGGCAGCCGTGGGGGAGGGGAGGGCCAGATTGGGGGCCGCTCACCCCGGGCTTGGTGCCACCGGGGTTTTGCAGGGATGCTAATGATCGGGGCACCGTGAAGGAGGAAGGCAGCGCCGAATTCTCTGTTGGCTCCAGAAAAAGGAAGGCCAATGTGGCCGTTGTGAGTACAAAGGGGACAGGTGGGGGAGCATTCTAGACCCCCACCACTTAACCGGGGTACCAGACTTGGCACAGGGGAGCTGGATGGGGGACCTCTGACAGAAATGGTGCTCATAACCTAATCAACTTTCTCGCTCTCTCTCTGTCTCTCCCTCGGCCCCTCTGTGTCTGTGTGTGTTTTGTCTTTGGGTTGTTTGATGTGTTTCTCTGTCTGGGGTTGTTTTATGTTAGTTTCTGCAGGATCCAGATGAAGAAATTGCCAAAATTGAGAGGACTGTGGGGAAACAGCGTGTCAGCCAGGTACATGTGCTTGCTGCCTGGGCCTACCTGCAGGGCCTCCACTCTTTGGGGGTAAATTGGGTATATACTCTCTCTTGTCCCTTGCTGAAAGTTAACTTTGTACAGTCTAAACAGCAGAGCAGTGGGCACTGGCTTCTGCCAGCCTTGGGATTCCAGGGAGATTTTTTTTTTTTTGCTCCTGACGGGCACGCTTGGAGATTACAGACAAGTGCTGTCTGGAAGAACCAGAATGAACATCAAATACCCTAATCCTTTCCATTTAAAAACCAAGGCACTCTGGTGGCACTGTGGTTTATGTGAAAGACTGTTAACCAAAGGGTTGTTGGTTCAAACCTATTAGCATCTCCTCAGGAGACTCTCCTTGCTTCTGTGTAGATTTATAGCTTCTGAAACCCTGTGAGGCAGTTTCTGCGCTGGCCTGTAGGGCCATGAGGAGTTGAGACTGACTTGACAGCAGTGGAATGGTTCCTTTCATGAGGAGTCCCTGGGTGGCCCAATAGAAATGTTAGCAGTATGAACCCACCCAGAGGGGTCTTGGGAGAAAGGCCCAGTGGTCTGCTTTTGAAAAGCCACAGCCTTAACTCCATGGAGCAGTTCTAGTGTGTAACACAGTGGGGTCCCTGGGAGTTAGAAGCTACTTCAAGGCAGCTGGCCTGGGTTTTGTTTTGTGTTTGCCATTATATCCATGAAGAAACTGAGGCTTGGCTAGAGGAAGAAAGTTACCCTCCTGGCTAGCTGTGTGTGTATGCCAGGGTCAGAGTTAAAATTTTGTCTCCAATGGCCAAAGGAGGAGGGAAGGCTCTGGACATAGTTCTTTTGGGTAATGTTGATGTAAGTGCTATAATCAGTGACTTCCCACCCACATTTAATTTGTTTTCCAACAGCATAAGGACCTTTTTGCTGCCGCACTACTTAGATCATGTTTAGACCCTCTATTTCTGGGTGTAGAAGTTCTTTTTAGCCCATCCAGCATTTACCTACTATGATTAAGGCTCATCTTGGCCTTGGTTATTAGTAGAACATTCTTTATAATGTTGTCGGTGTCTCAGCACATTTGTCATTGACTAGTCCATTGCTCTTAGCCTTACTTTAGGTAGTTTCTGCCAAATTTCCTGTATATAGGATCCTATCATTATAGTATCAAAAGTTCCTTGCAGAAGGCTTGCATTATCTCACTACCTCCAGAAAAGGCAGAGGCTACTCAAGTCGGGGAAGCAGTCTATCTCTAAACCAGCTGGTCAGGCCTTCTGACATCTTAGAGATAAAGTGACCCAGGAGTAGCTTCCACGCTGAGCGCCACAGCCCTGACTAAGTTAGGGCAGTGAGCAGTAGCTGTAGCAGCTGGCTTTGGAAGTGAGTGGCTTCAAAGCCAGTAGCCCACACTGTTTGCAGTAGTAGTTGTCTTTGCACATAAGCCATAAATCTTACGCATTTCTAGGAGGACACCCACAGCATATTGAACAAGGTGTTGACCATTTTTTGTTAGAAGTATTTTACTTTAGGAAAGAGAATGAACAGCACATTTTAAGGTCGTTCTTTTCCTTTTTAAGCCCTTAAAAAGAAAAATTTCTCTTGAAGCAAGTTGGTTTTGCAGGTGCTATAAAATGAATCCCTACTTGTGAAATACAAAATTGCTTCTTTTCCTAGCTGGGTTTCATAATGAAAGGAAATTTGCAACTGAAGATCAAATAAAGCCATCCTTATTGACATCTTGGTGTTTTTTAATACTTTCTGGTCTCAAAGGTGACCTAAGCAGTTCCTTGGGTGCCTAAGACAGGGCTTTGCCCCAGATTGTGGAGCTCAGATAGCTCTAAGAAATGAATAATCATTATTCTTTCCCACTAGAAGGCATTTTCATGGTTGTCCAAGAGACTTATTAGAACAGATTTCTCTGTGTATGTAGAAATGTATCCATCTATTGTGGAATGGTGGTTTTATTTTGCATAGATTCACGAAGCTAGAATTTGATAACACAACAGTGAAACAATCTCTAAGTTGCTTGGAGCCAGTCTAACTGCCTCAATTAAGACCATACAACCATTGGTTATTCCCTTAGACTTTTCCTTAGTTTTAAAAAGTACATTTTATCTAAAAATGTAAGAGTCCTAGTGGCACAAACAGTTAAATGCCCGACTGCTAACTGAAAGCTTGATGGTTGGAACCCACCTAACAACTTTGCAGACTAAAATGTGGTGTTCTATTTCATAAAGATTACAGACAGGAAAACCCCATAGGGCAGTTCTGCTGTCACATGTGGGCCACTAGGTGTTGAAATTGACTCAACACCACCTAACAGTGTCTCAGGTCTATTTAGCATACATAATTTTGCTTCATTTCTTATGTGACCAAACATTTTGGAGTAGAATTTGGGACTTTGCTAATTCTTAGAAAATAATTTTGCAGATGATAGTTCTATCAGTTGTGCATGAGTAATCAGAGAGGGTTAGGAATAGTTAAATTGAGGCCTCCTGTTCTCTCATTCTTTCCTGAATTCAGGGTGACTCTTCATTTGATCCTGAACCCAGGTTAAAGACTTGGACTTCATTCCTCTGCTCCATTTTAAAATGACCATCTTTGGGAACGCTTTATCACCTTGTGGCTCACTTAATTTGTCTATAAACTTCAGATTGCCACCAGTTTATCCCCAAAGGACTGCCTTCAGTTGTACCAAATATCTGGCTGTAGAGGGTGGCACCCAGTTCTGTCTTCAAAGCTAGGATTCATTCATTCTTCTTGAATGAAGAGCAGAGTGAACTTGTGACAGTTGTAATGCAATCCTTTTTTGAGTCAAGGAAATGATACCAGAACATGATGTTAGAACTGGGAGAGGAGAGGGTGTCCTTTCGCACAGCTGATGGCAAGAGCTTTGATGAATGATTTGCATGCCTACTTTACACCATGGGTAGAGACAAGCACTATGCTTTGCTCTTCTTGGGCTTTCTTGAAGGTAAAGTGACTGCTGTGCTGGCCATTATATACTTTCAGGGAGCACGCAGAGCCTAGGTTAAGAATACGTAATCAGGCAGATCTTTACCTTCAAGAGACCCTTCAGAAGATAGGCTTGCTGATCTGTTTCCAGGTCCTTGAAACACAGTTCTGTGCTGCTTACATGGAGTCACCATAAGTTAGAATTGACTGAGTAGTAACAATAATCCCTCACCTTTTAAGCACTAAAGAACATCATGCTAAGTATCTTAACTGTAAATTGATCTTTTTTTAAAAAAAAATTTATTATTTTTTTTGTGCGTGTACCGTCAAATTGGATCTGACTGGTACAGGATGATACTGTCCCTCCTTCTCCAGCAGAGCACCTAGTGGACTCAAACCATGTAACTCTAGGATTGTAGTGCAGTTTCTTGCCACTAGACTACCAGAGCTTCCCAAATTGATCTCTCTTTTTAAAATATAATGGCTATTGGCATTTCGTCCTATCCCTTCTGTTCTTTTTGTTGCTCAAGTACTTATTAAGGTTGTAATGTGGAAGACATTCTTAAGTATTTACTTGGTAGACTCCTGAACTGATTAAATAAAAGCTTGACGTTGTTAAGTGCTATTGAGTTGACTGATTCATGGGGACCCTATGAACCTTGCTGTATCATGAGCCAACCTCACCATCTCTGAGAGCGTCAATGTAAGGGAAGACCCTCAATGAGATGGTTTGATACAGTGACTGTAGCAGTGAGGTCAAGCGTGTGACATTATTACTGTGGCGTTAATTATCCATGCTATTGCCATCTTAATATAAGTCTGGAGGTTATTCTCCAGGGAAAAGATAGTTTTTTAAAAAATATGGGCTGGAAAAAAATAATGGGCTGATCTGAAAATCAGTGAGTATAAAAAATAGCTGATATACATCAAACACCAAAAAATTAAGTGTATGTTTTTCTTTTACAGCCTTGGAATAGTAATACAGTTTGTGAAAACCCCTGCTCACTGATTCCCACACCTGATAAAGAGGAGGATGAGCTGGTGTACCCAAACTCCTGTGAACCTCAGCATTTTTTCGCCCCGTCTCGAGCCTCACCACTGCCAGTACTGAAGTAAGTGTTTACTGGCTCCTTGGCTTCCAAATCCCCTACCCCATGTTCTCATTTCTGCCTCATTAGTATGAATGCTTTCTGACACTTGTTTATATTCCTAGCTGGGCAAATAGAGAGGAGGTGTGGAAAATCATGTTGAACAAAGAAAAGACGTACTTAAGAGATAAGCACTTTCTGGAAAGACATCCTCTTCTGCAACCTAAAATGCGAGCCATTCTTCTGGATTGGTTAATGGAGGTCAGTTGAGTCTCCCCATTAATAGGACGCATTGACCATTTCTAGAATCTTTTAAACTGTTAAAATACCTGTGTGTGTTTATGTCATTGACGTGCTCTCTGTTTTTTTAAGCTATGATACATTACAGCCATCTAACTTCTTTGTAAGAATTGCCATAATCTCTTTACTCCCTAGATTGTTTTGTTGTTGGCTGCAGTTGAGCTCATTTCAGCTCCAAGTTGACAGTGATCTGCTTTCATCATAACTGAAGTAGTGCAAAGGTTATACTTCCCAGTGTGTTGTAAATACTGCTCATTTATCTTTGCATTGATAAGTTATCCTTGCTAATGAAATTATTTTCAAGGTACCTAATGGAGCTACTCATTAGCCATGACCATATTTTTTTTTCTTCAAGAACACAAATTCTGTTTTCATTCTAGTCAGACTGTAGTTTTGTTATTAACCATTACTATAGGAATGTTGTTAGGTTCCAACAAGTTAGAACTGACTCATACATGGCAGGTTTTCTGTGGTTGTAAATTACATAGGAGAAGATAGTCCATCCCCCCTTTAGATTGCTGGTGGATTCAAACCCTCTGCTTTTGGGTTGGGCAGAGCAATCCTTACCCAGTAAGCTGCCAAAGCTCCCTACACTTTAGAAATAGTCATTAGTAATTGATGGAGCATTCTTAAGATTGTGTGCTATTTGTCCAGCACTTTTTCTGCTTATTAATCCCATGAATGGCACTCAAAGATGCTCTGTTTAATAATGACTGTGTTGATGTACATTGTTACATGTATAAGCTGAAATTTGGTCATGACAAGATGAGGCCCAATATTTATTTGGCTCCTTTTCTACATTGTGGGTACAATTTCACTGGGTCCTCACAGCAGCCCTGTAAAGTAAGCAAAGAAGTCCTAATTTTTAAATTGTCCCCACAGCAGCCCTGTAAAGTAGGCAAAGATGTCCTAACTTTTATAATTTGAAATGAGTTTGTCCAAGGTAGAACCTAGGTTTCTAAACAGTTTTGCTGCTTGTGATTTACAGTACAGAATTCATGGTGAGTTTTGACTAAAATTGCCCAGTTGTAAGGAAAGAAACTAGTTCTTTCCTTGAGTCATATTGAAAATTGTAAAGAAGGGTAGGTAGCCATCTGAAAGAAATTCGTAATTTCCCTTGTTTCACTTGGTGTAATTACACTCTTCTTTGCCAGCACTCATGACAAGCGGTTATTTTCCCCCTCAACTTTAAGTAACTATTCTAAACCTTACAAAATTTTTTTTTTCAGGTGTGTGAAGTGTATAAGCTTCACAGGGAGACATTTTATTTAGCACAAGATTTCTTTGATCGGTATATGGCTACGCAACAAAATGTTGTAAAAACACTTCTACAGCTTATTGGGATTTCATCTTTATTTATTGCTGCCAAATTTGAAGTGAGTCATTTTTAAATATTCTTTATAATAATGCATGCAGTTTCTTGATTTCTACTGAGATTAGGGGAGAGGTTGACTATTTGTCGATAATGTATATTCTGAAATTTTCTAATCTGTGGCCTTTTAAATTGACATGTGAAAAAAAAGACTGGAAACCAATCAAGGAGAGAAACAGTGAATGTATATAATGCTTAAGTTAGTGAGTCACCTGCAACTCATAGTTACTATGTACAACAGCTCTGAAGCCTGCCCTATTCTGAGTCAATCTCACTGATTCCAACATGTCTACTCTCATTACCCCAGTTGCTGTATCAATCCATGTCATGCGGGGTCTTACTCTCCTGCTCTGTCCTTCCACTCTTCTAAGCATGATGTCCTTCTCCAAGGACTAGTCCCTCCTGGCTATGGGCCCAAAGTACGTGAGATGAGCTTCAAAACCCTAGACTCCAAGAACAAACTTTGGTTTCACCCCTCTAAGACAGTCTTAATTGTTTTCTTGGTGGCCCATGGTATGTTCAAGACTCTTCTCCAGCACTCACATTAGTTAATTTGAGATGACTGAAATTTTTTTTAAGAATTCTCTTTCTTTTTTTATTTGATATTTTAATGAAAGTTTATAGAGAACTTGTTTTTCTATTCATTCATTGTTGCACATTTTCCTCCCTGCCCCCACCAGTGCATTTTTCTCTTTGAAAAAAAAATTTCATTGTTGTACAATTCCTCATCCCCACCCCAGTCAACTATACTATGCAGCTCTTATTCTTGACTTGTCATACAAATCATACCTAATCATATATTCTCTTTAAGAAGTTCTTTCCCTCATCTGTTTCAATGCAGTATATCTTATTTATCCCCTCTTTTCTTAGTTTCAAGATGATTAAAATTTTGGAGTGATTATAAAAGGTGTATTGATTTTTCAAACCTGTTGGTAAAGCCACCGAAAAGATGACATTTTTAAAAAAGTATCCTTAATGAGGAAATTAAACCAAGTTCACTTATCCTTTTTTATCTTTTCATGAGGATAGGTTATTTCTTTCTGTTAACAGTTTTGACCTCTGGAGTGGCTGCTGTATGTAGTCCATCCCTACTGTATTTCTGTGCTAACATACACAAAAAATTCTAGATACAGCTGTTAGGAATTCTGTTTTCTGTTACTAGTGTCTTTTATTTTCTTTAGGAAATCTATCCTCCAAAGTTGCACCAGTTTGCTTATGTTACAGATGGAGCTTGTACAGGAGATGATATTCTTAACATGGAATTATCCATTATGAAGGTAGGTTACAAGTTAATTTTTCAGTCTTTCAACAATGTATTCTAATTCTGTAAATAAACTAGTAGAAAATTTTAAAAAATGCATACATAGTATCTCTTGCACATTAGCCATGCTGGAGTCTGGTGGAGTACAGTCTAGCTGGACACATTGTGGCATACAGCATGCTTGTGCTCCAGACCTTCAGAGGACTGTGGAAATGCTGGCTTCAAGAGAAGCAGAAATGGCTGTTCTTTTCCTTTTCCCAAACACTGGGATTTTTTTCTGTTTTCCTTTAGGCCCTAAAATGGCATTTAAGTCCTCTGACGGTAGTGTCCTGGCTGAATATATACATGCAAGTTGCCTATCTAAGTGACTTTTACGAAATGCTGCTGCCACAGTATCCCCAGCAAATCTTCATACAAATTGCAGAGGTTAGTAACACCATTATGCATGTGGACTTCCTATCCTGCTGCTAGATTGATGATGTCTCTAATGGTGTTCTTTTTGAAGCTTTTAGATCTCTGTGTCCTGGATGTTGGCTGCCTGGAATTTTCTTACGGTGTACTTGCTGCTTCGGCACTGTATCATTTCTCATCACCTGAACTGATGCAAAAGGTTTCAGGTGAGTTGGCTTTCCAGTGAGTTCACAAGGTGTATTATACTTAGAAACCACTTGTCAGCTTTAGCTTGACTCTAAAATCTATTACATTCCAAGGGTACCACTTGTGTGATATAGAGAAGTGCGTCAAGTGGATGGTTCCATTCGCCATGGTTATAAGGGAGACTGGAAGTTCCAAACTGAAGCACTTCAGGGGGGTTCCTGCCGAAGATGCACACAACATACAGACCCATATAAACAGCTTAGATTTGCTGGTGAGTACGTGCCTATTTTAGTCTTCCCCCCAGTTTTCTCAAACTGCCTAAATAGCCTCTCCACTTTCCTGATAGCCTAGCAAAACTAACTCCTTGAAAAAGGAAATTTCAGTAGCTGCCGTTTCTAAGCAGTCAAAAAACCCAAAGCCCATCATGGAGTCTTTTTTTTGCCTTCATAGGATTTCTTCACTATTTTTTCACTTCTTAGAAAAAGCACATAGTAAGTGAAGCCCAAAGGCTACTTTTCTCTCACAACTTGTATTCTTAACAACAGGACAAAGCCCAAGCAAAGAAGGCCATGTTGTCTGAACAAAACAGGATTTCTCCTCTCCCTTCTGGGGTCCTCACCCCTCCACCGAGCAGTAAGAAGCAGAGCAGTGGTCAGGAGACAGTGTAACCCACCAGCATTCTTCACCAAAGACAGTTGTGTGGAAGTGCCTGTTCAGAAGCGTTCTCTTCTGTCTCCTGCAGCGCAGGCATGCATTAGCTTTTCTAGGTATTTAAGGGGAAGTGTTGTCTTCCTCAATTAGACATGTTTTGTAAATGGCATGGGACAAGATGACATGTATTTTATTAAATGCTTAGATTTTTTAAAAAATAAATGGGTCAAGTACACCAGCCACCTCCAGAACACCAATGAGTGCTCCAGATGCTGCTAAGGAGGGTGCTACTTGACTTGATTGACTGTTCACACAAATAACAAGGCTTGAAGTTGAGGAATGCCACTGTTGGTCTCTCCTTAGGTGTTCTGGGCTGAGTCCTATCAAGTGGAGCAGGTGGTTGTGAGCATTGAGATACAGAGCCCACAACCAGCTGTGCCGGGGGCCTGCTCTTCACTGTATCAGCTGACGATGTACAATGCCTTTTATGAATTATTTTGTAAGTGCTGCTATGTCTGTCCATTTTTAATAAAGGTAATATTGTCTTTGAGACAACTGCTTTTATGAGCTATGTCTAATAATTTAAGTTAGAAATCACCTTTCACTGTTGCTGTTATCAGACTCTCATTTTGACTTAATGCCTTCTGAAGCCCGAGTCTTTTGAGCAAGTACACATAAAGGAAACCTTTGAAATTCATTTCATGTGCAATTTTGTCTGCCCTCCCACCCGCCCTCCTCCTGAGCTGGGAATGAGGCTTTCATTTCGCATTTCCCCACACACGCCTTGTGCAAGTGGCTGCTAAGGCTGGTTCATCTTTAGAAATGGCATCATCTTCAAAGATTGTTAAGATTTCTATCCTAGAAGTGATTCAAAGTTATGAGTCTATAATTAGTGTTATTTAATACTTACTGGAATCTTAACCTAAAAAAATAATTTTTGTTCAGAGAACTTGTTAACTTAGTAGCCTAAAAGTATAAGAAGAAAACACAAAGTACAAATATACATAGTTCAAGGCCTTCACTGATCACTGATGGAACTACCAAGTGCCTTGCTCCATGGAAGAGGCTGCCATCCACTTGGAGGCTGAGTTCGAACAGCCCAAATTGGACTTTGCTGAACATCCTCAGAGGAACAGGCCTGTGGAGTGCTGAACTGTTTCACGATGCTGTGCCATGTGTGGAGGTGCAAAGGAGGGGGGGCAGATAAGCAAATAAAATACCACTTGCTTTCAATTTGGTATATCATCTCATTTTTATAAAAATTTGTCATTAAAATTTTAAAATCTGTATTTGTATGAAGTTGGAGAATCTACTTTTTGACATTGTGCTATTAAAGTCTGACAAATTTGAATACATTTTTCCTAATAAATGCATCATAAACCTACTTATATTGTTATTAGTCAAATAATATAACTAGATAATTATCCATCTCGGGCAGGGATGTTCTTGGCCTTAAAATGCTGTGATTTCTTAAGTGGGTATTAATTTATTAGCAAAATTCTAAAATGGATAATGGACATTTGTTGCACTTTCTGTGTAAAAAATACAGTACTAAAAAACATTTGTTTATAAAAGTTTTATTTAAATGTGAGGCAACACGTTTTAAAGCATGTTTAGGGTAAATCATCGTAACAGCAAAGAATGTTACTGAATATGGAGACCACAGTGCCTTTTACACTTTTGCTATCAAGAGCACTGCATATCACAACTTTTCTTTAATTCATTTTAATGAACATTTACAGAGACTATAGATTTCCATTCATTCACTGTTACTTTTCTCCCCTCCCAACACTCCCTCCACCCCAGTACACTCCCCTCTTGGAAAAGTAAAAGAAAAATTCTTTTATTGTTGTATTGTTGTACAATCCCTCCCCCCAGGTCCACTCCACTATGCAGGCTTTGCTCTGGACTCCTGTCACGACAATAATACCTAATCACATATTCCTTTTAAACAGTTTTCTCCCTCATCTGTTTCAGTGCAGTATACATTATAGAAGCCATCTTTCTCAATCTCTCCCCAACCCTGATGTTAAGTCCTATTTTACAACAGTGGCACCATGCAGTATTTGTCCTTCTGTGACTGAGATACTTCACTCAGCATAATGTCCTTCGGGGTCACCCATTTTGAATAATATTGCATGAGTCCCTTGTTTTTTAGTGCAGCATAGTATTCCATTGTGTGAATATACCACAGCTTCTCTATCCATTCGTTTGCTGATGGGCACTTAGGTTGTTTCCAACTCCTTGCTATTGTGGACAAAGCCGTGATAAACATGGGTGTGCATATATCTGCTTGTGTATCAGTTATGGTCTCTTTGGGGTATATTCACAGTAATGGAATTGCTGGGTCAAATGGTATCTCTATTTGCAACTTTTTGAGAAAGCGCCACACTACCTTCCACAGTGGTTGCATCATTTTACACTCCCACCAACAGTGAATAAGGGTTCCAGTTTCTCCACAACCTCGCCAGCATTTGTTGCTTGCTGTTCTGTTAAATTTTGCTCTTCTGACTGGGGTGAGATGATATCTCATAGTTGTTCTGGCTAGAGTTTTGGGCCAGAACAGATAAAAGAAATAGTCCCTGCAACACTCTCAAGAACCCTAGGAGACTCTAATAGTAAAATTCTATTTTATGTGTGTATTTTCACTCACTGCCATGAGCCAGAACTGACTCAAAGCTGGTCATTCATTGTGTTTCTGAGGCTGTAAACTGCATGGATGAAGATGGTCTCTCTCCTTCAGAGCTGCTGGTGGATTCGAACCTCCAGAGAGGCTCTGCCTTTGGGTTAACAGTGCTACATACAGGCTACACCATCCACATATGCTGGTGTTGGCTCTTGGATAGTTGGCTCTATGTTCTCCTTTGCCTTTTTACTGTAAGTGATATAAAGCCCATTGAGCCCACAGCTGATGGCGGTTGGGGGACAATGACAGCTCAAAGCCCGCCTGGGCAGACAGATGTTCTGAAGCAGAGCCGCATCTGGGAGAAACAGCGGAGAGAGGTGACATAGGTCTCTAGTCTAACTTCCTTGTTCAAGAGATTGTGAAACAGTTCCAAAGGGTAAGATCCACCAATGAGGGACTAAAATTGTAGAAATTACCACCTTTTGCCCCAGCCCACAGGACTTGCTCATTAGCCCTCAGCAGATCTGCTCGTTCTCTGCCTGGCTATGTCTGAGGACATAATCCTGGTCCTTAGGTGACAGATACTGATGCTTTCCAGCACTTCCTTGTGAGGAACTTTGCTGGTTAATTTCATAGAGGCCATTACGCACTGTGTGGTTTAGCAGTTTATTGAGGCAAAATTAGGCTGTAGCTTAGAGCAAAGAGGAAGAGAAATCAAATCTGATAATGTCTAGTCATACTCACCCAGCTGTGCATTTTCCTACCACATGTTCAAAATTTTGAAATTCAAATCACATTTATACCTTGGACATTGTTAGAAGACTATTTTTATCTGTGCTGTAATCATCTAATTTGCTGATTACAGGTCTCAAATTGCCACAGAGAACTCAATTTTTGAAAGAATTGTCCTGTTTGATCAAATATGTTATTCAAGCGATGCAGTCATTTGTTCCACAAGGTTACCTGCCAGGCAGAGTTAACCAGGAGTAATAGCATTAGAAGCCTGTACTTAAAATCAAGCATTAGCTAATGTGCCTGTGACAATAGAGTCTTAAATAGAATTTGCTGCAGATACTTCAATCCCTGCATCGGCAGACAATTGCTTTTTTTTTAATTCAGTGAGCATAGATCTTTCCTGCCTCTTCCTATTTCCAGATTTATCTCCAGAAGATTCTAATCTGCTCAGTTCCCACAGGCTCCTCAGGTACCGTGTCCTGAGCGCCACAGACAGGAGGGCAGTGTCCCTTACTGCCCCCATTTAGTCACGTTTCCCCCCACTTAAAGCACAGTCCTCTTCCTTGACGTCAAGAGTTCAAGGTGAATGCTGGCTTTTAGAATGATGTGTGAGCGCGCCTGAGATTTGAGCACTTGCAGGTGCTTGAGACCCAGGATGTGACCGGGATGCTCAGACAAACCACCGGAATGGCAAGAGGTTCAGACCAAGATGAGTGAATGCATAGAAAATGCCTCCCACGGTGAAGAGAAAGCCTCCACGGCTGTGACAGTGGGCTTCGGCACTGCAACAACTGTAAGGATGGAGCAGGACCAGGAATCTTCCCTTTATTGTATAAAGTGACATCGTGAGTCAGACCAATTCAACAGCCCCTAAGAACAATTACTATCGTCGTTGCTTCTATAGAGGCTGCACACAGGGTCAAGAGCGCCTAACAGGACTGTCCTGGGAAGAGTGTGGGATTGAGCTCATGACCCTACTAACTGTTCTGAAGGTGGGGCTGGTCCCTACACAGTGGGGACTCCAGGGACTTGGAGCGTGGCTGACCTGGCCTTAGCCTCCAGGCTCCTTCCCTAGGGTTTGCCCCAGTGTCCTCGCCAGCATTCAGACCCCACATCTCTGCCTCATTGGTCTCCTTGCAAGTGTCACCTATTGGGCATTATGTATGTATGACAACAACCTAGAGATACACTGCAAAGTGGACCAAGGGAAGGGAGGGATGAAAATGTGCAACAATGAACGAACGAAAGCCCAACCCTTCAGTAAACTGTCATTAAACTCACAACGGCAACAAAAAGTGGCCTCTCCATTTGCAGCCTCTTTCCCCTCCTTTATCATCAACCCTGTCTAGTTGGGACTTCCGTCCCTGCAAACCCTGCACTGTTCTCACCAGGGTCACCTCCATATGGAAAATCTAATGGTGCTTTAACCTCCCTATCATGGGCACATTGCCTGTGACTCTGACCCCTTTCTTCTAGAAGCTTCCTGTCCATGACCTCTCTCCCCCTCCTTCCACACTCTCTCATCTCTGTTGCAGTTCCTCTTCTGAGGTGGAGGAAATGGGTCACCACTGTCCCTCAGCAGTCTTCCCAGCGAGCTCACCACCCCCAGAGCTTCAAGACCCCCTCTGTGTCTCCCTCC